CCCCCCGCCACTAACGATCCCGGAGGAGTGAAAAGGAACCCAAAACCGAAATCACAATCCCAGAAATGCGAGCCTGAGTGATTCCTGAGAGAATCCCCTCCCTTTTCAGTCAATCCCAGTTAATATACTAAACATGATGTGATATGATATGGAATATTTTATTGGCACATCCAACTGTCACTTCTGGTTTTACTCACTACTACACTTTTCCCCTCCCCCCTTCCAGTTCTCTCTTTGTGGAAACTGCCCAGGCACAGTGTCCTTGTAGTTATTGACATTGTTTTCATAACAGTCCTCACTGAAACCAAAACACAGGGCTTTCTAGCTACTAAGAAGAAAATTAACCCTATCCTAGCAAAAACCAGGACAACATTTCACTCAAGCTCATGTCTGGCCTAGCATCCCACCCCTGAAGCTGTAAGTCAGATGCAAACATTCGCATTTCCTTTGGTTGGCTGTTTTCTGGTATGTGCAGTTTTTTCTTAAATTTGCTTACCATAGGGAAGAGACCAAGAGAATGGTACCGACGTGATATGGCATTTGGCATAGTCTTGTTCCTAAGGTTTTTCAGCTCTTCTTGAGCCTCATGAAGCATTTCCATGCACTCTGCATACTTATCTTCCAGCTCCCGCAACTGTAACATATGGAAAGCAGTCCATGACCTTACGGGCTGCACCATCAACACAAAAAGTCTGCAAATTCTTTTCACACTGGTAAAGGATAATGGTGTAAAAAAATATCCCACTTTAAAGGAAAAGAACTCCAAAGAGCAAATATAATTGAAAATAAGAACACTGACTAGTAACGGGAAGGGCTAAGGGGGAGGAACTGCTTTCTCCACTTCCTATCTTACGTTATCTACATGAAGCCACTGTCAAGGAGAAGATGCAGAGCTGAAAGTATCCTTAGTCTGATCAGATATAGTGCCTAATTACTGTCACAATGACCACAGTGGCAAAGAGCATGGGAAAAGGACAAGACATTTCATAGTGTTCCAAAAGACTTAGGAATTTTAAAACCAAGACTTACATACATGCATACATATAACCTGCAAGAGCCTAAGACCATGCCTTATATTTAGTTTGACTTTCTCAGGAAACACATCTTGTGTAATCACTCTGTCTGAAGATCTCTGTGTAGCTTCATAGTTTTTGAGTTCATCGGCCATTTCAACCAAGTTTGGCAATGGGGCAGAAGTCTGAAATACCACATGCCTACAAGTTTCATAAAAATAAGCTACGTGGCTTAGAAACAGTGATCCCACTAATGTCTTTCCCAAGAAAGGGATGGAGAAGCATAAGCTCAATCTTTGTGGAGCACCACTGATAAAAAAAGGTTCATCATCAGTAAAAGTTTCTATGGGCAAATATTCCCACCTTCAACACCAAGTGCTGCAAATGGAAGACACATGGTAAGGGGATCAAGCTTTACTCATTCTGTTTCATCCATTTTGTTCATGTGAATGTAGCACCCAGAAGACAGTCAGTAATCCTGGACTGTCTTCTCTTTATTTGCTGAACAAATACAGTATGAACAAGCTCTTCCATGTCATCTCACTATTCAAAATAGGCTTAAACTACCAGCCTAAAGAAGTCAACCTCTAAAGGTGCTCCTATATACAGCCCGTAAGCCTCAGTTTTTCAAAAAGTGTGCCAGTTGAAGGAGAACAGGAAGGAAAAGGTTTTGAACTACCAGGAACATAAACATTCCTTCATTCCACATACACAGACAAAATTATTTAACAGTTCTGACCCAGCTTAGACTAAAACTCCCATGGCAAAGTGAACAGCCATCGCTCTACTACTACATTGTAATACTAAGTAATACACTCACCTCTGCAGTGAGCTGTCTCTGGGCATCTTTAGCTGCTCCCAAATGCTGGACGAGTTCTTCATTTTCAACTGCACACTAAAATATGCCAAAAAATGTTGGAAATACTGTGATGCTTTGTCCTGTGATGATGTTTGTATCCTATATTACAGGGTAAGTAGGAAAATTCTAACTTTTCTCAAGACTCTCTGCAGCAACAGTAGTTTACAAGTTAGTTTAAAAACAATTAAACAACACTTGAAAATGTTAACACCAGCATCAGTCTGTACCCTGCTAAATGATTCTCCAAGACCCTAAAACTATGGGTATGTGTCCACTGAAATACCTTTACTGACATTCTTGCCTTACCAAAGTCACCAAGTTTAGTGCAAAATTTCACATCTAATATTTAAAATAAATTTAACTATTGTATTTGCTATATCATATATGGATATTTTAATAAATTAATGCTTTCTAGTCAAGTATGCTAGATATTAAACATCAAACAAGGTCACCCAGATAAGGAGGGTGGAAAATTTCCTTTAGGCTCTAGTATACAGAGGATTGTAACTTGTCTTCCAGCTACAACAGTAGCAAATCACAACAGCAGTCTTGCAACTGGATTGCTTACAGCTTTCGCCTTTTTCTGCAGATCAACTATCTGAGAGAGAAGATGGGTGATTTCTTCCTGCTGTCGGGCAGCATCTTCGGTTTTCTTTGCTAACTCTTCGGAGATATTGGCAATCTGGATGTTTGCATCCCCTTTAAGATAAACCATTACAATTAAGATTACAAACCCAAAAGCAGAAAAGTAAGCAGAAGGATGTTCTTTTGGAACATCACTTGATTCAGCAGAATCCTTCCCCAGTACACAGCAAGGTATTTTTTAAAAACAGCAGTAGGACACAAAACCAGAAAGATACAAAGTGCTCATGCAGCAACTTGTACTTTCTCTTAATAACATCATTTTCTATGCAAAAATATTTTGCAACTAAGAAAGATTTAGCTAACAGACAGAATCATCTGCTGTGAAATTTCAGCCAGAAATTTTCTCCTCACTACCATTTATATAAGGAAAATAAATACCACAGAAAAACATGACTGACTGATCTGACTCAGTTGTCCTTTTTTTTTTTTTTTTCTACTGAACAATCTCAAATGAGAAGGGAAAAGAAATAAGGACATACTTAGCTCTTTTACACAGTCATTGACAAGCTGTTGTTCTTTCTCTTCATAAGTAATTGTTTCCGTCTTCAGCTGACAGGCCTATTCAAGAAATCCACATCAAACACCCTACATTAGCACATTTGTTCTTTGCCAGTCTGTTGCTGCATTTCCATCTGCTTCAAAAAAACAAGCTTTGCTAATCACTCCTCCAGGAAGACAGTGAGAAACTAGGTTTTGGCTGTCCTCCTTCATGTTCTGGAAAGAGGGGGCCAGGTGAACATTCAGCACAGACATTACTGCATGGAGAAACTTGCATCATTATCACCATATCCCCACTAGATGTCATCTGTGTATTTTATACTTAAAAAAAAAAAAAAAAAAAAACCAACCAAAAGCTGTTCAGCCCATAACATATAAAAGATTAGTATGCAGAGCTTGATCTGGTCAGTTGAATCAGCTTAAGTATCAACACAAACTGATTAAATGCTTGGTTTAAATAACTGAATTAGACATTCAAATATTTAAAAAAACCCATTCAGATAAGTATTTGAAAAGTTCTGTAACTGTAACCGTGTATCTCACATAAAACCTTTGTGCTATCTCCTTCCTTGCTTTGACTTTTCTGCTCCAATTCTAGGAGTGCCAAGACGAGAATGGCTATGTTCTGTCTGGCCCCACCTCGGTGGGTCTGTAATCTATTCCCAGTGCTGGGGGTGTGCAGAGACACGCACAGACTGCATCTGTAGAGAGATGTGTAGTCAGAGGTTTCAGGTTTGGCTCCATCCTGTGTCTCGCTGGCACAGACTGCAACTCCCTGGAAGGGAAGCCAGTGCTACCTGGGGTTCTCCTATCAGCTCCTGACAAAGTGGCCCTCTCAATTCTAACCCTACCTTCCTCACTCTCAAACCATCTATTGTTCATCTTCCTTGTGCGACTTCTCAAGGAAGCATACAGCACTCTCCACTAAGTGGTGCCTTATCCAGAGATATGACACTACCTCTTTGCAATGGGCCCTGCATTTGCAGTAAAAAAAGATAATGATTCAGTTTTCACACATTCATTCTTGGCTCAAAAGTATTTTTTCTGCTATACTCTGCTACACGTCTGCAAAATAGTAACACACTAGTGTTGTTTCTGATAGACAGAGAACAGTAAATAAACTTTTAAAAATGGTGTTGTCTGTGAAACAAATGGAGTATTGTCAGAAATAATAGGCAAGAAAAATCCATTCAACTTAAAATATTAACAGCCTGACTTGAAACACAAAGTGAAGATGTTTATTGCAAATTTAGACTAGCAGTTTTTATTTTGACAAACACTGAATTTGTACCAGAGAGACAAACTTCAGACCTGTAGCCAATGTCACCCATTTCTACCAGGTCAGCCCTTTAAGATCTGTTTCCAAGTGCAGTGCTGTACTCCAAAACCTGCCCATGCTCCTGCACATTCTTTTGGCAAGGCAACTGCTTTGCTTGTAGCTTCCATGTTCCAGCCTTTCCTTCATTTAGAAGTATAAAAGATGGTGATTAAACAACTACAAAGAGTTCTGTATCACATATGGAATTATATACTCTTAATTAGATTCTCTCAAGTTATAATACACACTTCTCAATACCTGTGCTCTAGCATTTAAATCAACGACTGTACTAAGCAAAACAAAGGGAGCAATTTCACCTCAGATCTAAGCACAACATTCTCCTCTTCAAGGTCCTTGAGTTTCTTTTGAAGAGAATCCAAATGAAAGTAGTTCTGGACAGAGGAGGAAGATTCATTCCTCTTCAGCCTTGTAACAAAAACAAGATTTTTAACTCATTTTTACCTGTATTATGGTCAATCTCACAGGAGAACAAACTGAACAGAGGTCTTAAAACTAGTCAGAATCACATGAAGTACAACTTTTTTCATGCCAGTGTATTTAGGCAGCAATGTATTTGCAGTGATTTTTAAAAAAGAATAATTATTTATTTATTATCCCCCCACACTTTCTATGGAAAAGTTATTCAGTCAAGGCTATGAGAAAGTAAACCACCTTACTACAGGGAGCAACCCAATAGCTTCCTGATTAATGCTGCACATCCTTCACCACAACGCAGCAATAACGGTGCAAGGAAGGACAGACAGCCCCTTGGAGCCTGCCATGCTTGGAATATTTCCACAGTGCCCTCAGGTCCTTCAAGTGCAAAGGTCACACACGTAGCACGTTTAGCACAGTGTGCAAAGGTATGTGGTGCAGTGGGGTACCGTGACTCCCCATGTACTTTCCCCTCCTGACTCCTGTTGGTACCAGTATAGCACCAGTATAGCCAGCAAACCCTTCCAGCTGGTGTCACGCACCAAGTTCAGAGTCCCGTTTATAGTTTCAGCCAATTTAGGAATCATTTTACCCACTTTTGAAGATCCAATGTTGTAGATCGATAACTTACGGGGTGGAACAGATGGACTCTGGCTCACTTTCTTCAGCAGCACTGGTATAGAACTGGAGCAGCTCATCTTTCATGGAGAGCTCATGCCGCAACTGAGAAACCTGAACAAAGAAAGAGCTTGCAGATCAGTAAATGGATTTCTAGGCACATTCTTGAGTAAACTCTTTATAAATTAGTTATTCATCCTCCAGTCATCATCTTCAGACTACAAGAGGCCAAAACTGGAACAGACCAGAACCTTTATTTCTTATGAAGAAGGAAAAGGGTATCTTTTAAATTAGCCATTAAATGTTCTTTTATTTTTTTTTTTTAGAAGTTCAAAAACCCCAACCAATTATCCACCACTATTAGACATGTTTCTCTTTCAGCTTCTTTAAGATCAGCAGTCCTGATTCACTACTGCATTAGTCTAGATTCATATCCACAGAAATTGATTTATTGCCATGACACTGCAAGAAATGAACATGGCAAAATCAAGGCAAACATCACTTTCTTGTCCATTTTATGTGATGACTCTCACCATCTGGCTCGGATACAGACCTTGTAGGCCTCAGATACAGACATTTCTTCCTCTCCAAAAGACTTCAGACAAAATTATTAATGTGCTTGTGCAGTAAGGTTACATTTGGGACTCAGCTGCTGGTTGAGCTGCAGACCATCACCACACAGTGGTAGGCTGCTGTTCTGAGGTTGCTGCAATGGTAGAGGCTGCAGTCAGCTTCTGGGTGTAATGTGGGCTTTTGATGACTCCAAAACATGAGTTTAGTAAAGCAGTATGTGGGATTCCCATACTTCGTACATATACGTATCAAAAAGGAAGAAAACATCAGAATTGGGTGGTTAAGATATCCTGCAATTGTGAGCTCCACAAACAACCTTGGTTAATTCATATTGTGATTCTCCAAGAAAAAGGTTAAAAGCCCTATTAGACAGTAGCACTTGGACAACTTCACAGCTGCAATTTAAGACCTCAGTGGCAAGAGATTAATTTTTATTTTCCTTGCATAGCTATAAGCAGCATAACTGATGAGACAGATCTGTTCCCTTCTACTTGCACTACAAGACTTGGCCCTCAGTTTTCACTTTCCAATGCACAAACTGCAGAGCACATTTAGATTTCTGCTTTTTGTACTGCAGGCATATTTGTATTTGTAGTTCTTACTGGCAAAAAAGAGAATATCAATAAAATAGATTTAAGATGCATTTTCATCAAACAAAAAAGTAGACTCAATGCAATAAAGCACTTAAACTGTGCAGAATTTTAAGCAAACAAGGTAATTTACTTCACTAAGGCTATTCTGTATAATCAGAAGTGCCAAGGCATCTAGTCCTCCTGAGACACTGGTTCTAAAAATACATGTGGGGAAAAAAACCCCAACCAACCACATTTCAGAAAAACATGAAACAAAATCCATGCATTAATTTTGGGAGGTTCACTTTCCTCATTTCAGGAAGAGCTAAAAAGCTGAGCCAAAAATAACAATTTACTTCCCTCCAGCACATTATGGCTCAGCCTCTTTAAGTAGCAAAAATTTAGATACCGTCACTGGGTAGGCACTAGATCATCTCCAGCTTTTGCTACACTTTTTTCTCTATGAATTAAAAAGACTGGGGATACTATTGTTACTGCCATTTTCAAGCATTCCAATTTGTCAAAGGAAGGTGAACAGCCAGAAAGGGCGACCATTTATAGGAACAGGACCAGAGGTGATGGGCACAAACTGAAGCACGGGAGGTTCCCCCTGAACCTCTGAACTACATTTTATTGTGAGGGTGACTGAGCACTGGCACAGGCTGTCCAGAGAGGTTTTGGAGTCTCCATCCTTAGAGTTACTCAGACACCATCTGGACATGGTTGTGGGCAACTGGCTGTAGGTGGCCCTGCTTGAGCAGTGGGGTTTGGACACTATGATCTCCATAGGTCACTTCCAACCTCAACCATTCTGTGAAATGTGGAAAATAACCTTTCAGCAATGCTTCCCTTTGACATAGCATTTTGTAGTGTGTTGACCCTGGTGAGCAACTAAGCACCCACGAGCTGAGCACACACTCTGCCCCCACAATCCCCACAGGATGGAGGAGAGAATCAGAAGTACAAAAGCCAGAAAAACTCATGGGCTGAGATAAAGACAGTTTAATAAGTAACACAAAGTTGCTTGTGCAAGCAAAGCAAAATAAGGAATTTATTCACTATTTTTCTATCAGCAGGCAGATGTTCAGCCACTTCATGGAAAGCAGGGCCTTGGCACACATAATGGTGCCTTCTGAAGACAAACACCATAACCATTAATGTCCCAGCTTCTTCCTCCCTTCCTGAGTTTTTATTGTTGAATATAACCACAGAAGGTATAGAATATCCCTTTGATCAGCTTGGGTCAGCTATCCCAGCTGTGCCCCCCTCCCAGCAACTTGCACAGATGGGGTACACAGTGGAAAAAGAAGGGCCTCAATGCTGTGCAAGCACTGCTTGGCAATAGCCAAAACACTGGTTGTTATCAGCACCATTTTAGTCACAAATCCAAAACACAGCACCTTATAGACTCCCATGAAGAACATGAGCTCCACCCCACCCAGACCCACTACACATTTTTACACTGCAAAACACAGGAATTGTTTTATGAACATAAAGGACCTCTTCTACATTCTCACAAGCCTCTGCAACATGTACCCTTCAGAGCAAACACTACCCGATACCCCTGCACAACGGATTGCTACCAAGCTCTTGTGGGACAAGAGCTCAGTCCCTATAGCCCACAAGGGACATGGCCCATAAGCTGTCACCATGCTTGATTCCCAAGACTTCATCTGTTCAGGCTTTTAACTCACTCCATCACCCTGAAAGCTTCACACAGCTTCAGAACTATGTCATGAAATAGTTGCACCTGTCTTAGAAATAATTTAAGCTAGAAAACAAAAGGATCCTCACATAGAGTACAGCATTTTAGAGACATGGGACCTAGCTTGCAGGAACAATCCTTACTGAATCATGAACAACCATTTCAAGAGTCCAGCTGATTTTTTTCCTGACTGACAGCAGCTAAATGCTTAACAGGTTGGAGTTACACACTGAAAATGAAGACAGTCAGTTACACTGTGTGTAAATAATATCTATGCAAGTACCAAGCCAAAGAGCATTTCTATCTTTCCAATGTTACCTTCTGTTCTAATAGACCAAAACCAATGTTCTCTTTTTAAAGCCACCATTTCAAATTCTAAATCAGCTTTTCCTTTCATCTCACTTTACACAGAAAAAAATAAAATCTGGAAAAGACTTTAAAACCAGCTATCACCAAAATACAAACTCTGGTATATGCCCTGGAACTAGAACAACAGGGCTAGAGGGCTGTATTACTCAGATGTTACCACAGGTTTGAGGTGGGTTATATGAGGACGGACACTGTGTTTGAAGCGCTGTCTTTTTAACTTCAGAAACATATGACAAAATCTGAAGAGGAAAAAGCAGCATTAACAGGGAAATTTAGAAAGATTAGGAGAATCACAGAATGTTGGGGATTGGAAGGGACCTCGAAAGATCATCCAGTCCAATCCCCCTGCCCGAGCAGGAACCTAAATGAGATCACACAGGAAGGCATCCAGGCGGGTCTTGAATGTCTCCAGAGAAGGAGACTCCACAACCTCCCCGGGCAGCCTGTCCCAGTGCTCCAACACCCTCACTGTAAAGAAGTTTCTTCTCAAGTTTAAGCGGACCCTCCTGTGTTCCACCTATACCCATTGCCCCTTGTCCTACCATTGGGCATCACTGAGAAGAGCCTGGCTCCATCCTCCTGACATTCGCCCTTAACATATTTATAAACATTAATGAGGTCTCCCCTCAGTCTCCTCTTCTCCAAGCTAAAGAGCCCCAGCTCCCTCAGCCTTTCCTCATCAGGGAGATGCTCCACTCCCTTCATCATCTTGGTGGCTCTGTGCTGGACTCTCTCAAGCAGTTCCCTGTCCTTCCTGAACTGTGGGGCCCAGAACTGGACACAATATTCCAGATGTGGCCTCACCAGGGCAGAGTAGAGGAGGAGGAGAACCTCTCTTGACCTACTAACCACACTCCTTCTAATGCACCCCAGGATGCCATTGGCCTTAATGTAATGACCTACTCCATTTCAAACACAGTTCACACTGTGACATTTTACGTTGCTTTGATACTGAGCTCTAATTTCAAAGATTTCAAAGGAGACAATAATAAACTGTAGGTAGCACCACCTCAGTGAAGAGGGACACATCTTGAGATTGGAGCTGCAGCACTCTTACTGAACACAGCAATGCAACAGCAGATAGACACACTGTACCTGGGAACTACACTTCTGCTGCTGAAAAGCTGGACACCCTTCCCTGTAACCAAAACAATTTACAATTAAGAAAGTTTTCTCAATATAATGTTTATGCTTTCAATACACAGTTTTGGAACAGCAAGCTGAGACTGAAGTGTCTGTGCATGCAGTACTGCCTGCTTCAGCACACTCACCTTTTGTTCTCTAGTGCACTACAGGAAAAGTCTCAGTTCCATCAGTTTTTATTGAACATGACCATCACCCCTTCCTAAACCTATGCAGCACCTGACAATACAAACTCAAAACACAAGCCCAAGAGTCTAATGCATTTTGCACAGGTCTGTATTACTTTCACATGTACTTGGCAATAGGGCATGCCACAAGGACAGAGGAAAAACCTGAGCTAGTTAATGGGATGGTCAAAAGGTTTTGTCAGGACAAGTTTGGTAGGTCAGATAGACATAAAGGTAAATTATTCATGCCATGACACATATACCAAAAAAACCTTGACATGATACCACACAGCAGAAAATACTTTTCTATATACTACAGAAACCACAGATCCCCCAGACAAAACATTTTTAGGCAGTTTTTAAAGAATTTAAAACGTACCAATTCTTCTCTTATCCCTTGCCCTTAGAGACTGTTGTCTTACTTACCATTCTATTAAAATATTCAAAATTCAGCATTAATGGAAGATCTGAAACCTACTAAAGAAACATTTTCAACATACAGAAGTGTCATGACTTTAAAGCCTGATGAGCTCTGCCTCAAAAGCATCCATTTCTGAAGGAGTCAAAATGACAATTTGAGAAAAGGGTGTTGATAGAACATATGGCTCAACACACCAAGCCACCTGGTAAGAAGCTTATTTCTGGTGGCCCTTTTTCTAATGCCACTCTTGAGTTCCCCTAAATAAAAACAGACCTAGCAGAGGCAGCCCATCCCTGTCCCCCACCTTCCTCAATTAAATCTTCCATTCTGGATGTATGGCGTGAATGTGCTGCCCTGGCCAGTCAGTATGCATGTGCCTAGTAAATGCCATATTAACCAATGCACAAATAAATTGGTTTGCCACATGATGGGACTTGGGCAGCAAACAGCAGCACTCCTCTGGGACATAAGAGAATTAGTTTTCCTTGCCAAAAAGAGCAGGCCACACCAAAGGCTATTATTTCTATGTGTGTACTCCACCACCATTTACCACACAGATGGGATCCCTCCATCCACGCTTTCTTCATCAACCCATCTTGGATATAATTCAACACCTCACACCGCTGTGCAGTTTTATTAACAGCTTTTTAAAAAAAAAAAAAATAAATTAATCCACTGTGGTTCATTGTTCTCCTGCTCACCCTACAACTGTGAGATTTCTCTCCCTATTGCTCAAAGCTACACATGGATGGGATTTACAAACCAAGGTCACTGTCCCAGAATAGGAGAAACAAAATTTGCCTCCAGCTCAGTCAGTAAGTCAGCAAGTTCAGTGACACTTGCAGTACAGATAGAGCTCTGTTAAAGTATCCCCAAGATAAAACAAGTTCTATCCGAGATACATTCATCAAGAATCTGCCAGTGCCTACAGAATCCAACTCCCCATTCAGAGGAATACAGCAAGAAATAGCAACTGGATAAATACTTGATTAAAAATTCAATGGTATGTGTTTCAAGTAATACCTTATGTCTTCCAATGTAAGTTTTCAGGTAAGTTTTATAGATCACATCAATTCAGAAACACATGCACCACCATATTATATTCTAAATGTGTTAATCAAATCTCTAAATATTATTACTGCCGAGTCAGACAAATGTATGTACTGCAGCAGGCTACTGACCCATGCTTCAACAGATTCCATTACAGTTCCCTGGAAAGAGATACAGCAAAATCACAAGAAGCTGGAAGATCCTAGCAATGTAGATAGATGGTAACAAGTGTCAGCCTATAACTGTTTGCTTCCCACCATAACCCAGTGCTTCCTAGCACTGACAAGTTCATATATGCAGAGCATGCTGAATAAAAATTACTAATCACTAAAATATATCCTGACCCACCTGAGCAACAGAAGCTTAAACACAAGTCTATGAAGTCTGCCCAGCCTGGAAAAGGCAGAAATGCACATATGATCTCAGTGAGCATGCACTCCTGAAATCTCCATACATACTGTGATTTACCTTATATGTGATACTTGTATCACATTCAGTTTGCAAAGCAAAGGGAAGCACTTCCAGCATTCAAACACTATGTTCTAAGAGCCAAAATTCAACTCATGTATGAATAGAAATGCATTTCAGTAAAAGAAATTAAACACCAGTTGGTAAGGAAGAAACTAGTGAGGACTGAGAAAGATTCAGGGGAGAAAGATGAAGAAAGAGCTGCACACACAGGGAGACAAGAGAAGGAAAAGAGTGATGAAGGAGATAATCAGAGGGGAATTATGCATAAAGCAGGGGAACAAGGACAAAACAGGTGGAAGAAAACAGTAGATATAGTGACTCAAAACTAAAAGAGCAGCTGGTTTCAGAGGAAAATGAAATCTGAAGGCAGAGCAAAATTCAATGGGTTGAGATTTTGTTTTTTTTTTTTTTTCCCCTCAAATCACTGATTTGAGCAAACAGATCAAATTACTTCTTTGGTCATATTTCTGAAAGCATACAGGCTATAGAAATGGCTGACCAGATTGCTGCAAGCAGACTGATATGCTAGGGACAGGATACCCAACAAAATTAAGTACAGACAAGGTGAAGCTAGAAGGAAAATTCTCCCCATCATTGCAGATACAGCACACAGGTATAAAAATCTTACCTCTTCCCTGATTTGTTCTACTTGTTCCTCCAAGAACTCATTTCTTTCTGTCAGTGATTTATTCTTCTTTAACAGTGACTGGCCAATCCGAGCAGCTAATTCTAAGTCCCGTTCTTTCTGTGAAGCATTAAGAAAAGAAAGCTAATTTCAAATTTTTTATTCACCAAAGGATCAGAGGGAGGGTAAAACTGTCACGAAAGGGAAGGAACAAGCACTTGAACAATAAAAAGACTTTTTCCTTTTATGAGGGTTTGTTTGGCTGGGTTTTATTGATAATTTTCTTTTTCTATTCCTGCTTATGTTACACCCACATTATTCAGAAAAGACTGGTCCATACAGCGTTATTGGACCATACATATGAAAGCACAGCTTCAAGGTCTACAGTAAAACAATATAAGTGAAAGCAGATCTGGTTCTCTATTACACCTTTGAGAAATTACTGAGGGAAATTATTCAATCACCTTGTTATACCATTTGCAGAACAGTCACTGAATTTTAGAGGTTACATTTTAAAGAATGCAGAAACACAGTAAAAATATCAAAGAACTTCGGTATTTCAAAGCATTCTTCATTTTCCACTTGCTTCACCTTGACATAAAAGGCAGTAAACTGTGCAGGAGCAGAAGCTGATTCCACTACAATGAACGTTCAGCTCTGATCTTCTTCATTTGTATAAAAACAAATCCTGTCCCTTTCCTTTTTGCAGATGCCCAACCGACATTAAGTGGTTACTCTCATGCCACGCTTGCTCTCTTCTTTTCCCTCCTCTATGTGCACAGAATTGGAAATAACTGGTCTAGACAGTTCACCACAGGTAGCAATAAAAACTAGAAGCTCATCTTGTTGATGATGTGTACCTTCACATCTCAGCTTCTGCAACGCTAAGGCATGAGGCTGCAATCCACTTAGGAGAGGATGACAAGCTGCATAAAACTTTGCACTGGTTCATTAAGCATTTCTATTTATCATTTTGTTATTCAATTGCCACATCTTTATGATAGTGGGGAAAAAGGTGCTAAGGTTAACTCCCTACTTACATTTAGTTCAACACCATTTGAGGAAGAGTTTTCTCTGAAAATACTGTTTGGGGCTCATTTATCACCCCTGACAGCCATCCAGATTTTAGGACTAAAAGCTACCTTGTGTCATGTATATATTAATGATAAAGCCTACAGCTACTGATCACATGGGTTTGAAGTCTATGAATTTGAATGAAGAGGCTTTCATAATGGAAAAAAAAAAAAAAGAAGCTATGCAATAATCAGTAAATAAAAAGAGAGGTTATTGATCACTGCTCTATCTACAAATAGCATTTTCCAAATGGTTTCTGAAGGTCAGGTTTCTATTTGCATTGAAAGCTACTGGCACCATCTAGACATAGATCTTTATATAATCTTACTTACAATCTTTCAGAACAATAGATCCCACAAAATTATCCAAAAAACGTTTGGTTTACATATCGAGCCAACATATTGTTCAGTAATTAGGCTCACTTCATAAATATGAAGTGGAAAAAATATATTGCTGCAGCTTTAACTCTACTGAGGAAGACCTGTCTAGCAGCAAGGTTTCTAACCTTAAAGTTGAGGAATGTAAGTGCATTTCCAGGCTCTTTAATTAACCTCCCTAGACTTCCTACATAATTTTTAGCAATTCAGCCCTAAATGTCCATTTGGGGTCAGGCTTCTTACTCACCGTGATAAGGAATTGATTTATTGCAGTGATATGTAAGAAAACACTGAAGCCAGACCCACTTACACTATTATTAGAAAGGGATGAGCAGGCAGGTTCACAGAGGGATCTGCTCCTTCCTATGCTTACCACAAACCCGGGCAGGCCTGGTGTCACTCACTTTGCTTAGTTTCAGGGCAAAAGGCACAGATTTTCAAAATACATTTGTGCAATTTTATATTTGCACGCATAGTGTTCTGGGATGATCTCTTTCCTGTCTCCCTCCCTGTCCCAAAATGCTGCACCCTTCACCCAAAATATTCATCCTACTTTGTAATACTTTCATTTGAAGCTCACCAACAAGAAGGACAGACAAGGGGTAGCTTTTGGGGTTGTTTTTCCACTTGTGTGTGTGTGAAGGTAGCAGAAGGAGTTACACTCTGACATCTACAAACAGATATCATCTCTTGTTGATAACCATCATTTGGAGAACAGAGAAAGGAGCTGTAAGTGCACATCTGCCTAGAAATAGAGTGATTCAATCAGAAATGATGGCCAAATAAAAAAAAAGTTCACTGAAAGTATTTATTTTATTAAAGGATCACCTACTACACGTTCCCCTCCTTTCCCTTTGCTATCATCCAGATAGGGAAGTACACCAGAAGCTTTAAAAATGTTGTCTCAGCAAGTCCTTCTAGCATTGCTCCCGTGAGTGTGATTTCTGGATCTACAGACATTTGGCTACACGGACTCAGGGGAAGAAGCAGTTTGGTAGAATGCTGCATTATTACTAGAAGCAGCCATGGAAACAAATGCAAGTAAATCTCAGCCAAACAAGACAAAGGGAACAGGACACAAACAGGTAACAGAGTGTTACTGTGAGTTAATGGATTATTCCAGGACAAGTCTTGTAGGTAAAGCATCAGTTTTAACTCATATTCCATAGAAATTTGTTTCAGAGTTCAGCTCAAAGCACGAAATGCAGAACTCGTACTGAGATCGGATGTATCAAGCATAGGTGGGAGATGTGAGCATTCCCATGCTTGTTTCCTTGCAGAATCAGAGGAAGAACAGACTACCCAATGTATCTCAGCTAGACAGACTCCATTTTTGAAATTACTATTCCAATAAGCAAGCAAATAAATATGAAGGATTAAATTACACTCAGTCCTGAACTAATTCAACTGTAACAGTTTTCACCTAAAGAAATCTTCATAAACATTATTTGGAAAATCATTGCTCAAGCTTACTGCAGAAAAGCAGCTAATTTCAGTCAAAAAAATTTATTATTATATTTATTGAACATAAGCATTGTAACTTGACAGTTGCTTTTTGCCATTTCTTGAGTGCCAAGCATTACAGTAATAAAAATTAACATAATAATGGTATTTTTAAAAAATCCCAGACCAAGCAAACAAAAGGCAAAGAAGAAAAGATTTGGAGACAAATGGAGTATTATTTTCTGATGTTATGTCTATGCACTTCTCTGGAAAGACATGATCTGAGATAATAATTATGAATACAAGACTATTTATTTGTTAACTACTTTTAAAAAAAAATATTTTAAAAGAGAATCAATCCATCAATATCATCACTATTAGCTCTACACGTACTTTATAAAACGTGTCATTTTAAGATGATCTTCCACCCCCTATTTGTTATGGCAAATATTTGGCCAAGAGCAAGTTAAATGAAGTTAAAGGGCCTCAACTGAAAAATAAGCACAAATAATGAATCCATATAACTGAGGTAAACAAATAACCTTTACTTTGAAAGAATATTTATCTTACCAATGAGATTAAGTGTACATACACCCAGAGAACCTATTCCTCCTCATTTGAGGACGGTCTACCAACAGCCTTTTGTAGTGGTACCATATAATTGCTGTACTGCTTTCTCATACTGTGTACGGGTCCTTAACGAGATGCAATACTTGCCTCTTCAAGAAGACGTGTAACAGCATCTATGTCATTGTATGTTTTAGTCATCTGGCCCACTCTTTCAGCACATAAAACTGCGAGGAAATAAAACAAAACATTAATTATATTGGTAATATTATTAGGGGAAAAATATCCTTTAAAGAGTTCAGGTTTGCATAAGTTTTAATCTTAAAACTACTTATGTAAACTTTTGGGTAAGTGTATCAAAAGAAAAAAAAGTCAAAGCTTCAAGTTAAACTGCAAATACAAGAGTTTTTCTTTTGCAATGAGTATTTGCTTTTGTCAGTGGCAGAACAAACATTAAAACATTAAACATTCTTCTCTGAAGAGGAATATCTTGAGTTTATAAAAAAATAATCAAGGAAGAAGTGAAAACAGATGGTCTTAGATACATAATTAGGATTCTATCATGTCACCTAGTCGTTGTATTAGGTGTAGTAGAATTACTCCATGAATAAGCAACTCCAATACTGTTAGTAACACTGTTCATCATAAAGATATTATGTCACATTACGTTGATAAGAACTGGGTTCCATGGTATGAGACAGCAAAGTAACCACAGAATGCATACAAAATAATAAATTCTTTTTATAATACCCAGACCACACCATGGTGGCCACAGTATCACTCAAAAATATTTACTCAGACTGGATGAGATGATTAATCACGAAGGTGGAACCAGGAGTTTTGTCAGACTGAAGAAAGTATGTAGAAGTTTAAACAACCACCAGAGGTGATCCTTTAAGAAGCTACAATAACTCATCTGGAAGTCTCAAGCTTTCTAAAAACCCACCAATAATCAATGGGCACAACAGCACCTTCTGCACTACCCTTACATTCTTTTTACTTTCAGCTACATCTATTCCTCAAACCCTGTAATTCTGGAAAAAAAAGAGAGTGTTAATGAAGTTGAGTTGATCATAAGGACTATTAGCTATCAGGCTGCTGTAGCACTGATTGTTCTTGAGGGGATTTACCCTTGACAATATCAGTTAAAGCTCAGATTAGCTAATGTTGCTCTAGTGTGCATTAAGGTAGGGGTGTGGGGTGGGAAGAGAGACAGATAAGGCCTAATAAGGTTTAAATTATTATTATTTTTTTTTTAAGTGTATTGAGTACAGTAACATTACCAGGAGACAGCCTGTCATCTTAAGGAAACAATGCTAACCAATTTATAAATATAAATCTACATATACATAAATGTACAGCTGATCACCACTAAGGCACATCAATCATATATCAAGTGCAACAATACTTAAGTATCTGTTGAAGTGTTGGAGGATTTTTTTTCCCCCAAGCTTAAACATCAGAAAGTTGCTTAAACTACAGCAAGATGTACACTTTGTTTCTGTTTATTCTCCTGTCTCAAATTCTATTTTTAAGGATCAAATCCTGAACACATTTACAATATTTAGTAACATCAGTAGTGCCAATGAACTCCAAAGAATACCATTCAAAAGTATTCAAAAGATAATTACACTTCTCCAAATAATTAAGTCTGAAAGTGGTAACAGTAAAAAGTTCACATTTCAAAGTAGTAATTTGACAAAAATTACAAAGCAATATAAAGAATACCTATACTACTGCACAAGCAAAAAAACACTGCACAGCAAATACAGGCTATATTAGTCAAAATCAGAGTAATCAGGATTCCACAGAAAATAAAATTGAAGTAGCTGGAAGAGAACATCAGCTGTAGTAAACAAAGGGGCTAAATAGAAGATTTCCACAAAAACTTCACATGACAACAGATAGTGTCACATCCAGAAGACTACTCACAATAAAAAAATTAACACGGCCATAAACCACATTTTTTAAAACATAATAAGTTCATAACTCATGCAATAAAACATCTATCAGAAACCCTGACACCAGCAGTTTATCTTCCAAAACAACTGTACACTAAATAGTTCCCTTGGTTACAACATTCCCCCACTACTATAAATGTTTGAGATTGTCATTAGCAAGCTCATTTTAACTCCGTAGCCAGCACTAATATTCACCACTGATTATGACTATGGCAACTTGGTACCATCCTAATTCCAGTGAATGTATAACCTTGCTAAGATCCAAGCTGATAAAAGGACAGTGCTCCTGCAGACAGAATAAAGTCACTCAGCTGGGATAAAGAGCGAGAAGGGTTGATTCATCTGGCTTCTTGCTTGGCTATTCCTTCAGAACTTGCCATTTAACCTTTAACGTGGCAGGGCAATGCCACAGTCTTATCACAACAGACATTATTAGCAAAGAAGTAGCAACCTGGTCACCAACAGCTTTTATATCTCCAAAATTTCCATCAAACTTCTGTTGGTCGCTGTTAAACAGAGGTCTTCACATACTACTCTGCCAGTGTGAAAGGGTTTCAAAGCAGAAATGTTATCTTATGCATCCTCTTCAACATCCAAGTGGAAACAAACTTCAACAGACCGCATATAATCAAACACCTCCTCCAGTCAACCATCTCCTATCAGCACTCAACATGCAACACAGCAGAAGCAGAGCTATGAACCAAATGGAACGTTTTCCTTTTGGAAGGAGGGCAAACTTGCCAAGAGGTGTTGTGCTCCATCCTTCAGAAACCAAGGCTTGTGGGGAAGAGAACGGGGAAAGTGAGAGGAGAGAACAGAATTCAGAAGAAGTATTTAAAATACTCAAAATAGCATCTATGTAGTTAGTCAGCCTCCAGAGATTACAGGATAACATTTGGCCAATTACTAGCGCAGTGATTTTGATTTCCTTAGTATCCAAGAAGACTACCAAGTGAAAAAGACACGCTGCCTTGAACAATAATTTTGAGCTCTGATCAATGAAGTAGGAGGTGAAGAGAGGAAAACAAACAAACAAAAAAATCTCAAAACAAACCAAAACCCATGAACTCCACAGCTCTAATAGATTCTGCATAGTTGTTTTCTAGCCTGATGGAGGTTCTGATGAGTATGGGAACCTCGTAACACTACCATAAAGATAAAACGAGAGTAAGTGAAGGACAACACTCTAATACAAAACCTAGAGTGCCAATTTACTGACCTCTTTTTGCTCACTTCCAAATCAGCAGTGTTTTTGCTTGAGGCTGATAGGAAGTGCGGTGTCTAACTGCATGCATGCAAACATCCAAATCAAAATACTCTTTGCACCTTTCAGTTTATGGAAAGGCTGTTTAATAATAATAATAATAATAATAATAATAATAATAATAATAATAATAATAATAATAATAATAATAATAGTAAAAAATACGTCTACAGCAAGTAGAGGAACCACAGAATTCCAGAAACAGAGTTAGAAAATGCATTTTGGTAACTGCTTTGAAATGAATGTCACAAATCCAAAACAGGAAACAAAGAACAGGGAAAGATTCTATCACATTATTTCCATGACCACATTAAATACATGCTACTGGGACATATTTGTGGTTGAAAGTATTTGGGTTTTTTTAAAAGCCAAACACACAAATAGACAAATGCTACACAAATCAAGTATTTCCTCTGCCTTCAAGTACCTGGCACCATCTTCACACCCTCTTAAAACTTGCAAATTTATGGGTACCCACATTCCTGTGTTTCCCAATGTGAGTACAGCTGAAAGGATGTACTCTGCATTTATTTCCCATCATCTATTTAATGCAGCATCTGACTGGAAGCTTCTTTCAGGCTCTGAGCTCCGCACTGACTAAAGCATTTATTCCCAAGCTGAAGATGCCCAGGGAGAAGGAAGGAAAGTAGGTACCTTCCTGGATTCCTCCCTGAAAGTCACATAGCCATCTAGCATGCTGCTTAGAGGAAAAGTGTTTCCAGGAACAGGAAAGAGCCATGGAAGGGAAGCAGAGCAAGAATATCACTATTGGGAGCTGCTGCAATGAGCCACCACCCACCAAACAGGGGATTCAGGTGAAAGGAAAAAAAAATAAATGACAGGAGCCAGCAGCCACAGGTGTCCTCAGCCTCTGCCCCCTGCATCCCTCCGTGAGGTATACCCCCTCTTCATTTTTGAGACCTATCAATCAGGGACTAATTTAAGAACTAGAAGAGAGCAGCCATGGCTGAAGAGGAAAACCCCAGCTCCCACTGCTCCTCTCTCCATTTATTTACAGATACTGGGAAACAGAATGGGGATTGGATGTTATGGTAAAGTTTCATTTTTGGGGCAGATAATACTGATCTGTATATTTAGAGAGTCTAACAGGGAAGGCCCCAGTGCATGAAGATTTTCCAACTACCAAAACGTATTTCCTCAGAAACTACATTGGGATAAGGGAATACTGTCCAGGGAGCAGAGATCTCTGGCAATTTTAATACTGATGCTTCTTATTGTCAAGGTGGCAGCAGGGGAAAAACTTCTTTTTCTGTAACAGTTTCCTACCCAAAGCCTTTAGTTATGGCAAGGTGTATTATATTCTTGATCAGTCATGAGAAGCCCTGCCTCACAAATAGCTTGTCTCCCTCCCCTCTGCTCAGAGCTCTCTGCAAACACTGAAGGTACAATGGCAAGTTCATCGCGTCCTAAACGCTGCTCATCGAGACGTACAGAACGGACAGTAACACTGACCGACTCCTTACTGCCAGATGCCACTCAGCAAACATCAGCAGAGACCCTGGCAGACTCAGACTCCTCAGCCCATGTTGGTTTAATTTTTGAAAAGCTATTTTTGCACTTGCTAAAAATCACAGCTTCGGTTCCAGAGCCGCCGATAGTTATGCTCTGGCACTGGTTATGGCGAGCACTACATCGCCCTGAGCCAAGTGCATGAGGAATTCTGAAACTGTGCCATAATACCTATATTCCTTTTTAAATTAAACTCAGGAAAATTATACCCAAGATGTGTCATCAGCTCTGTTATTGACCCAGACTAGAAAGATTTTACATGTTCAAAGGTAAACATGCTAGTTTCACCTCCACTAGAGAGGAGTTTTTGTAAGCCCTGGCTAAACTGGGACAGAGGCTTCAGGTTGTCACATCTGAGACAGCTTCGAGAGAACAGGTTCATCTAAAGAGCTTAAAAGTCTTAAGAGACTACTGTCACAGGAGCTTGGAAAATGTGTTTCTGAGGCATAACTTGCTAGAAGTGTAAACTTTA